GTTTAGATCATCCCTGTTAGGTCACAGCTCACATTTCTTGTTACCCCTTTGTAGCACTTGCACCTCACACAGTACTGCTACAGCACAGCCTATGTACTCTTTATTCTTGCTTCAGAAGATATAAGTAGTAGTTGAACTCTATGACCAAGGCTGTATTTACTGGGAGCACAAAACCACCAGTGAACCAAAAAAACCCCCAGGGTTATTTATGTCAAAATTTCCTGGTTCTGCTGTAAACTCACTATGCAGTACCCATGAGCACATCTGCTTGTACCAAGAGCCTGGGAAAATAGCAAATGTGCTATGTAGTAAAGCTGTTGATGACCTTTCAGGACAACTAATTGAGTTATTCACTGGCAAATAAACACAAGTCCCAAGAGAGGCTGTGCCAGGAGGGTTCTGCAGGTGGATCTCACCTCTTTCATACCCTTAAGCTCTGAAATGGATATTGCTTTGCTTTCCAGCTACAAAGCACGTAATTGCCTGAGGTCAAAAACAAAGAGAAAACAAATGTACAAAATGCTGCATCCGTGTAGATTACACCAATCTAAATGGATCTGAGTTTGCACTGCTGAAACCAGGAGGTAGTTGGAAATGTTTATTTAGGAGCAGAATTAGACCTCAAATTTAAAATAAACCCCACTCTCTGGAGTATTTGCATGCTGAGAACATGACAATTTTTAATTACAGAAGTGACTGAAAGGAGGTGGGTTTGTGGGTTTTTTTAATTAATCAGTCCTTTGGAAATTCATTCCACAGAGAAAGTCTTTAGGCTGCCTCCTGTCCAAAATGTTGTACTTGAAGTAAGCAGCAGACATGCCAGAGAGGAGCTGCATCATCTGCCTTGGGTCGTTCTCTACTACATGAGCATCAACAGCTGCTCTGAATTATACTTTCTGAGAGCAGCTAGCTACGTTTTGGTGAGCAGATGAGAAACTTCTCTGGATTTCATTGCTACTACTGTGAAAATCGCTGGTCAACTGTTTTTTCCCATGTGTGCTGATAGTATGCTCACTGTTGGGGGGTTGTCATACTTCTTATTTGTTTGTTCTAGAACTTTGAGGACAAACTAGGTGTGTATCGCCCATCATTATTGCACTGAATAATGGTTAAGGACATTTCCAAACAGTAGCAGCTGTGTTGTGTGTCTCAACAGGTATTTACATGGCACAGGCAGCCAGGAGAATGTCACTAGAGTTGTTGCTGTAAGCCTCTGAGTAATCTCGGAAGTTTACCCTGTTTTATGCTTAGAAAAGGGCCAAGTCTGGCTGCCTTGCAAACATATGAGCAAACTCACTCATTGATTTCAGTCTCTCCACATTGGGTTGAAGGTGGGCTTAATGCCCTCTCGTGTATGTACGCTACAAAGAGCCATTCTGAACACATGGTGTTTCTGTTTGCGTATTACACAGCTCAAAAGCCTCTTAACAGCTGCAGTAAAGTGAGAAATGGGAGAAGCCATTTGCAACATGGGGAGAGCAGATGGAAGATATGGTGCCCTGTTACAGAGGCGTGAAGTGTCTCAAACCCCGACCCCAATGTTCTTGCTCTGAATCTCACTGTATGGTGCTTCTGAAGTGTAAAGTCAAAGAACTGAGCACTGCACTGTGTTTCTCTCCAGGTTCCACTGGGAATTTCATGTGGTTGTCATTGCCCTGTCCGTTTTAATTTCCCTGACAAGAGTACATGGTATTCCAGGCACCTTAAGACGTAGTTATCCTTGCTCACAATCTTGTCTGAAAAATGGTAAGAGAAGCAGAACCAGTTAAATAGCAGTCAGATCAGAAAAATGGGGTAATTCTCTTTTCAGATCATCTTAATATCAGTAAACAGTGTCACTTCAGACAGTCTGCTGTATGCTCTTTGTAAAGTGTTGAAATGAGAGACAGGTAGCCTATAATTAATTTAGCTTTGAGTATCTTCTTTTTCAGAATATTTTATGTGATTTACCAAGCTGGGGAGGACCATCTCCTAACAGTGAACTCTACAGCAGTAGGTTGGGGGAGCTGGCTCCGAGTCCACAACAGGACACAGAAGACAAGGAGAGAAGGGTTGCACATGACTTGTGCAAAGACACTGATGCCAAATTGGATAGTTTACTTCTGAGTGATTTCAGAGCTTACATTAAGTTTGCAAAAGTGACTTGAAAGCTTTCAGATACCCCTAACACATAGCAATGCAGCAGTTTTCCTGTCAGATTAGCCATGCATTGATGCCTGCGGAGATTCCACACGTGGACTTTTAACAGCTTGTTTCTGCCTCCCCGTAGTGTAGTACTTCCATGGCTGCTATCTGTGCTTGTTGTTTCTAGAAACGTCTCTGACTGTTTCCTGACTCTTCCTTAATTATACCCTTTATTGACTCTGAATCATAGAATCGTTTAGGTTGGAAAAGATCTTTAAGATCATCGAGTCCAACCGTAAGCTTAACACCACCAAGTCCACCACTAAACCATGTCCCTGAGTGCCATATCTACACATCTTTTAAATACCTATATTTATATACAGTTTATATATATTATATAATCTATGTGTATGCTTATGTATAGCCTTTATTTATCTAGGTCTTAGTTTAAAAATATTTTGCTTTGCAGGGCTTATTGCCTGCAGTAGCAATACTAGCAGACTGTACAGTGACTGTAGTAGGTTCACCTAAGCCAAATGTCATAACTGAATAGCTGGAGTTCCTGCATCATGTTGCTGCCTTCCAGAGTATGGATTTTGTGACTCATCCCTTTGTCACCCTGTTTCATAGCAATGACTCTCTAGTTTGAGTTTTCATTGTCTTCCTCAAAGCTGATGGCCCACATCTGAACTGCATGTATTTTCTCCACAGCAGTGCCCATCAGATATTACAGGTGATACTTACTGGCACCAGGCTTATGAAAATCTTCAATATCTTTATCATATCAATTCTCATACTATATTTAACTCCAGAATCTGAAAATAAAGCCCCACTGTTGCCATATCCAAAGTCTTTGGTGCCATGGCGAGGTGAGTGTTGGTCTCTTCTCCCAGGTAACCAGCGACAGAACAAGAGGAAATGGCCTTAAGTTGCACCAGGGGAGGTTTAGACTAGATATCAGGAAAAAATTCTTTACTGAGAGAGTGATCAAGCATTGGAACAGGCTGCCCAGGGAGGTGGTGGAGTCACCGTCACTGGAAGTATTCAAAAAACACGTAGACGTGGTACTTCAGGATATGGTTTAGTGGGCATGGTGGTGTTGGGTTGGTGGTTGGACTTGATGATCTTAAATGTCTTTTCCAACCTTAATGATTCTGTGATTAGTGTATGGTAGATTATCCATTCTCCAAAGGCAATAAACCAGAAATGCAGTCATTCATACTCGGCGCTCTTTCCATCTCCTCTCAAACTTTTCTGTGATTGTGCCTTTCTTCAGAAGGTAATTGGATAAATGAAATCTGCACTCCTGGGGGGAAATAATCCCCACCACGAAATGTCATGTGTGATACTAATGAAGGGCTACAACTGCTCAGAGAACTAGAGTGAGCCAGGAGGAGGCAATACTCGCCAATTAAGTATTAGGCAAGATGCATGAGGAGGAGTTGAAAGAAGTCTCACCTCAAATAACATCTCAAGGTAAGAACAACCTCTTTAAACACCCTGAAAAATTAGTTTTTATTTAGTAGTTGTTCAAATACTTAGTCTTCTCAAAAATGAAAGATGCCATCTGCTAATGTAAAAAAAAAAATCTATAATGCCGTGTTTCATTCCTCTTTCTTCACATGACTCTCACTTTTGTGAAGGAGGGTGGACTACCAGAAAGCAGTTATACTTTTCTGTTTTGTATTGAGCAGATTGAAGAAGTAGCTTATTTCTGCAAGACCATTTTCTAGGTCTGAGTCTGCAAACACTGGCTCAGATCTAAGGGAAAAATAAAACAGCAGCCAATTCTACAAAGATTTCACTGATTAACCGTGAGTTCTGGAATCAGGCTTTTTTTAATGACCTGTTAGAAATAGAGGTAAGGAGCAATATGTTATAAGCAGACCATGTGAAAAAAGAAAAAGCCTCCCTCTATATCTTTTAGTCTCTGAAGCTGAACGTATTCTGAGCACGGTGTTCCCATACATACGGCTCTAATTCACTGCACTGTTTTGCAAAGTGTTTTCAGGGTAATACACAACTACAAATGGCATTTTGTGAAACCAAATGCAACTCTGTATATTTAAGGACAAATGCAGATGTGACAAAAGCATTAGTCTGGTAAACAAATCAATAATAGAATGTGGAAAACCACATCTGCTTTCCTGTCCAACTAATACAGGGTAAATGCCAGGGAGAGGAGGGGGTGCAATCTTTTCTGTGGACAAAAAGAAGGCAGAGCAGTTGGTGCGATGTGGAACATACTTCTGGTTAACATGTATTGGTTTAGCAACAAAAGCAACAGTAAGGATGTTTATCACATTATCACATTGAGTAAAGTTTGTCTGTGGCAAAAAACAGGAACAGAAGATGGCATCCATCCTGCAACCAAATCTGTGTTTCTGTGTTTGCCATTAGTAGCCTTGCAGGGCTGAAGGGCTGGGTGAGACTGCGGTAGTGCTTAAAACATGGGAATAGTGGGTACAAGTCCTGACAAGTTCTTGGTTTGTTTTGGGGTTTTTTGGTGGGGTTTTTTTTAAACACCCAGCTGTTCACAGTTTCAAGCCCGTGCTTTGGCTGGACAGAATAGGAATTGTCAGCTCCAAGGGGAATTCTCTGAGAAACCTGTGAAAAGGTTGATGAAAAAGCAGGAGACTTAAAAGGGTTACCAGAGCTCTAGCTTACCCTAAGGAGGGTGGGATAAAATGTCATGAAGAGGTGGCCTTGCTGCTCCATATACATGTGTTCCAGTTGGAGCCAACAGCTCATCTGGGAATGTGCACATCATAATACTATTATTGATTTTTCTGTCTATTGTAGGAGGGAAATAATCATTAAAAAATAGTTCTGATGGTTATCATCTTCAAAAGCCCTCATATATCTGCTTTTGTGCCATGAAGATTTTACGTGAATTTCAAGTGTTGCAGTCCCCATGGAGCATCCAGACACTCAGCAGGTTATTCCACCAGTATCACAAGACCTTTGCACCTTTGAATTTCTCAGATTATGAAGCTATCAGTCGTTGTGAACAGGAAGTACCAGAATACTTCTAATTTTGCAAGTGATGTGCTGGACAAGTGGTCTCAGGTAGAAAAGGTAGCATTTCTGACCCTGTAGATTCAGTATTTTTTAGTGAAACTGTGCCCCTGTCCCCAAAGTCAAGTCTAAAACCATTGCTGGCTTCAGTTGGACCAGAATTTTCTCCCCTATTTCTGTTTTAACATAATCTTACATTGCAGAGAAAGGAGAGGCAATTTGCTTTAGCATCAGAGGGGACATGGTACTTTGTTTCTGTGACTCCGATTCAGCTGTGTGTGCAGTTCTGGGTTTGTAAAAGCCCCTAAGTAATTTATGAGCCTTGCAAATCAGGTAGATACACAAACCAACTTATACGTGCCTTGGAAAAGGGCTCTTTCAATCCAAACACGCTTAATATCCCTGCCCTAATATGTAACACTATCAGATTCCACTGCCTGGAGCATCCCGAAAACTCTGCGAGGAACTACAGGAATTTCAGAAGTAACCAGCATGCTATTGACCCTTGTATTATGTATAGGAACGAAAAGGACCATCAAATCCAGCTCTGTGGTGGATAAACGGAAAAGGAGATGAAATTAAATGGAGCTTTGAAGAGCTGGGCTCCCTGTCCCAAAAAGTGGCCAACGTGCTCTCTGGGCCGTGCAGTCTGCAAAGAGGAGACCGAGTTTTAGTGATTCTACCCCGAATCCCAGAGTGGTGGCTGCTGAATGTGGCTTGTATGCGAACAGGTGAATTGTATCATTCCTAATGGTCTGTACATTGATTTTTACCTTCTATGCCAAAAGTTGTTTAACGATTCATTTAAGAATTACATTTCTTATTTGACTTTGTAGCTTGAACATTTGATAATCAAAGGGGCTGACGAGGTAGTCTCTTATGAGTGATGGGATTACCTTCATCATTTTTCTTTCACTTTCTGTGGCCTGTGTTAAATCACTTAGGTTGTGTTAAATCAATTTGACTTAACTTCAACAGACTTAAGTTAAAGCTGTTAGTGTTTACTGCCCTAAAGTTATACTTTCTCCTCACAATGTGCCTGGAGCAAAGGATCTCATAGAAACAGAAGCTATTTTGTACTTCAGATCTGCACGTCTATATTCAAGTTCACGTATATGGGACTTGTTTTACCTTCTTCTCATTTCTTTATTGAATGGTGCTGGCTTCAACAAATCAGGAGAAGCTATGAAGTGATCAGGACTGAAAGTGAAAAGTACCTAATAAATTTCCCATTTTATTGCACTTTCAGGTGTTATCATCATCCCACGGGCAACACAACTGACAGCACAAGACATTTGCTATAGATTGCTGGCTTCCAAGGCTAAGTGCATTATTACAACTGATATGCTTGCTCCTGCAGTGGACTCAGTTGCATCCAAGTGCCAGTTTCTGAAAACAAAGCTAATTGTATCTGAAACCAGCTGGGCCAGGTGGCTGAACTTCAGCAATTTGTTCAAGTGAGTGCCTTCTACCGTAACTCCATCACAGGTATCTCTAGTGGAAAATTTCTCATGTTGTTTAAACACACTAGTGCACTTGTCTCATTGATGAACTAGATATCTTTGAGGGTATGAGAAGGCGGCAATGTAATCTCTTTTCTATGAAGAAAGGGAATATTTGGAAATGGCCAAATTGCTAATTAAAAAATAAGTACAGCCTTAGAATGTCTACATTTGTTATATTTAACTAGGTAATAATATTGAAAAATGGACAGGAAAGCCTCTTTTATTGACAGCTGTGGCCTATTTACCCTCTAAAGCCCAAAGAAAAATATTCTATACAAATTATTCCAATCCATATTCCCAAAACTTGATGATAAAAAGGCTAATGTGAATAGCTTTCACTATGAAAGAGCACTGCGAAATGAACCCAATGTGTTTAGGAATCCACCTGCCTCACTGCTGAAAAGCAGCTACTAAAATGGCACCCCACAGGCAGCTCTTCCTTGCAGTGCATGGGACTGTAGGAAAGGGTGGAGAGGCAGAGAGAGGAAGGGAAGCAAATACCCTGCTGCAATCTGCTCAAGGCCCTAGGTGTGACTTTACCAGCTGATATCTTAAGAGCATCTATGTAGCTAAAACCATTCTTTCAAGGTGGGATCCAAGCTCTTCAGTCACTTTAAGAGCTTTATAAGATGCACCATGTGTTCTCCCAACCACAGGTGTCCAAACTAGAATTACCTGTGCAGCGCACTATACAGTCTCACTGTATTTCCATCTGCCCCTTCAAACAATTGCTTACTTCAGTGTCACTAAACTGGAAGACGGAGGAAGCAATAACACTGCGTTCTCAAACCTCCTAGAGCTACTAAAACATTGTCAAGTCGATTTGATGAGTCCTCTTTCATGCTGGGCTAATACTCCATGGCTCACTTCCATGGCAGAGGGTAAAATTGGTTTGATAAAACCTAAATATTGTCTGGAACTGTGTCAGTCCTGCAGAGGCTGTCAGTGGCAGCCGGGCAGGTAGGCTGTCTGGTATCCCCGGATGGCTGTCTTGCAAAGTGCTGGCTGTCTGGCTGCGGGGTTGCTCAGCTGTCAGGCTCCCCAGTCTTCCCAGAGTGCTGGACTACTGTCCTGCCTGGCTCCCTGTCTCGCCAGATCACTGGCAGCCTGCCTACCTAGTGGGCTAATTGCCCAGACTTCCCAGCTCTCCATGTCCTCAGCTGCCTTAGCTGACTGCTAAGCTTGCCAGAGGCTGCGGGGCTCCGGAGCGAGGGGTCCCAGGCAGCCTGTCTGCCTGCGAGCCCGCACAGGGGCATGGCTGGCCTAGGGACACAGACTTCCCATGCCCAACCCTGCAGGCGTGGGCAATGTTTGCATGCCAAGCAAAACCTTTATGAACGTCAGTCCTGGGAGACAAAAAAAAATGGTTCTGCTTTCTCATCCGAGTAAGGGATGAGACATATTTCCCTGTCATGTGCCAGTTGACCAAGAGTTCGAGCTTCCCCATACTTCCCAAACATGTCAAGGATAATTAACTAGTGGGACCACCTACCAAAAGAAATGGTGGGTCCTCCCTCAGCTAATCACATTAAGGCTGGAAGATATGCTTTCTGGAGGGTACTTTGGCTAAACACAAGATGTTGGGCCTTTTGGTGGTTGTTAAGGGAGGCAAATAAAAGAGAGCCAGTTGGTGTTTATACTCTGGAGGAGGTGGACATGGAGAATGGTTAAAGAGCAAGATCAGCAACACTAATACAGAACTAGCAGTGCAAGAGTGAGGGGATCTCAGGAGTTTCCTATCCTTCACACCTCACTATAAAAGCAGTCCTGGATATACTGGGCACAAAGGATGCAAACTAAGTGTGCTGAATAATACCAGACACTGTTTCATATAAGCTTTCACTTTTGTTAAGGGCTGCCCCTGCTGTTCATAACTGTGTGAAGACAAAAAGCTGTGATCCAATGGCAATCTATTTTACCAGTGGCACCACAGGCTCTCCTAAAATGGTTGAACATTCCTACGGAAGCTCTGGTCTGGGTTTTTTTTCTCTGTGGAAGGTAAAGTATTGAGCTAATTATGCCTTCACAGCTCTGAAATGTGGAGCAAACAGAAGAGCTTTTGTATGTGATAAAATTATGATAAATGATGAGGGTCTCACAATACTCTACATGTTATTTCTTTTGGTCTCCTCAGCTGAATTGTACCCAGCAAGCAAGGATCTTGTTCAATATGGTATATGGCTCCATTTTAGAAACTACTTGCCTGTTAATCCAGGCTAAATAATGAGTTAGGGTACCGTTTGATTTTCTTCATCTTTGCCATCAGTATAAAGGCTAGGCAAAAGGCACTCATTTGGATCAAATTTACCATGCCTTTCTAAGCAAAAAAACCCAACCACCAAAACCCCCCTCACATTCAGTTTTTACTTGCAGATTCCATTGTATTGGCCACCTTTGTCTTCAACAGATACTGGATGAATTTGACTCCCTCAGACATCATGTGGAACATGTCAGACACTGCTTGGGTAAAGGCAGCTATTGGGAGCGGTTTTGGTCCATGGTTCCAGGGCACATGTGTTTTTGTACATGCCATGCCACAGTTTGATCCAGGAGTGATCATAAATGTAAGAACAGCATGCTGACGATGAACAGTTACTCGTATTTCATGTTGTTTTCTGGGCAGGCCACAAAACTGAGCCTCTTAGGTTTATGAGATTAACTGTTTTCAGATGGCATAACCACAAGGTGATTGTTCTTTGAATAGGAATATAATACAGGAAGGATTTTGCAGCATGACCTTTTTGGGCACAGGATATTACCAGCTGCTTCCAGTCAGCGGGAGTTACTGGTATTACTTAAACCTCTCCCCTACTGTATTTCACTATTGAAATGACAAATGAGCTGAATTACATGTAAATTAATATTTTAATTACACTGCTGTGACCCTTAAGAAAGCAAGTCAGTACTGGAAAACACTGAAGCTGTGAGATTGGCTTGTTCTTTTAAGAATTTATTGTCAAGCTTCTCAAGCTAATCTGAGTTTTAATCTAACATAATGGGAAGAGTGCTGTTCCCAAATGGCTCAAAGCACCTACGTGGAAAAGTGTACACCCCCAACATGTGGGGGTTATTTGGGGATTTTAATCCTATTTCCTTTCTAAAATGGTAGTTGCTGGTTTGGTTTTCTTTTTTGTGTATATGTCTTGGCCTTGCAAACATCCGCTTGCAATGTGCATGGGCTGTCACATCCCTGCACAAAATGAAGTTTGATAGTAGAGGCTGCTTTACCCATGGTGTGGCTGAAGTGAAGGCTGATGAATGAGAGGTCTTCCCCTTGCTTTTATTTATTGCTACCTCTCCCTCTCTCTGAGCAAATTTTCATTGCAGGCAGAAGCAATTGTTCTTTGAATAGGAATATAATACAGGAAGGATTTTGCAGCATGACCTTAATTAAATTAAAAAATTTTTTTTAAAAAAAACAAATGTAAGGCTTAGCTCTACCTGAGTGACTGTGAATCATCTGCTGGCGTTAAGCTGAGAAATAAAGGTGTGTCAGAAAACAGAGGCTCAGCTGAGAACTTTATTTTTCTAGCAAGGCACTCATGTCCTGTGTTCTGTCCCAGGTAAAGGAGGATATATAAATCTGCCAGTTCAAAATAACCTTTTAATACAGCATTACTTGCAACTCAGCCAGAGCTCATGGAGACTTGGTTCTGCACATTGGGGCTTTTGTCAGGACAGCTGAGGGGAATTGCAGCATGTCTAAAGATTTGCAACAGTCCATTTCGGAAAGTGTGGGGCTAGATAAGACTGACACAGGAAAAACATTCAAAAGAAACCTGTCATTTTAGGTGCCTCCATTTTGAGGTGATTGACTTTGTCCTAGGGTGAGATGTGGGCTTTACTGAAGTCCCCTGCAAAACTTAGGTTGCACCTGCAGGGCCAGGGTTTCATACCAAGGCATGGTCCTTGTACTTCAAGTTAGGTACACCAGTGATTTACCACAACGTATCACCCCTTCAGCTGAGGTTTGGGGCACTGTGATATCTTTCCTGAACACTGACAGTGACAGCAATTACTTTGCTTTCCATGTGTGGTTACAGTCACGTCTTGTAATTTGTGCCCTAGTATGGAATAGAAAGGAATAGTTGGCAGCAAGGTTTTTTTCCAAAACAATATTGTTTAACTCTCTTTTTTTAATTTGTCAGACTTTGAGCAGGTATCCAGTGACCACTCTGTGCAGCACCCCAACTGCCTACTGCATGCTGCTACAGCATGACCTCACCAGGTACTGCGTGTCTGTTAACAAGTGACCGTGCCGGATCTGTTCAGGCTGTTGCCTAGCTCTTTAACAATGATTTCTATAGGCCCTCATAGCCACTTCAACTCTCAGAGTGGTGGAAATTCTGTGTTGGAGGTAGGGGCTGTGAGGGGGCAGAGCCTTGTCCTTAGCACTACAGAGAGGGGTAATGAAGTCCACCGCTCAGGCACCTCCAACTCAGAGCAAATTTTGCCCTGAGGCGATACAGACAGTAAAAATGGAGGATGGTATTCAGCCCTTGAAGGCACATGTGTGGCTGCACTGCCATCAGTCCCGTGCATCTTTGCAGCTCACTGCTTTGGCAGCCCCTTTCCAGCCCCACTCCAGCTGGAGCTCTAGGCTTTCTCTCAACCCCAACTCTAAGAGTCTTGTTCTGTCCTTAAGTCATGGGGTTGGACATATGGATGTTGGGGAGAGCAGAATTTGTCCCTTTCTGTGCTCTGAGACTCAGCAATGCCCTCTGTCTGTGAAGGTATGCATTCAAGACACTGAAGCACTGTTTGACTGGAGGGGAACCACTCAACCCAGAAGTGATGGCACAGCGGAAAAGCCAAACAGGACTGACTATGAAGGCTACGGCCAAACTGAAATTGTATGTTCAGCTTTTTTGTAGTGGGTTACAACTCGCCTATCACTTAGGGGACTTAGGGGATCTCATTCCTCTTGGTAAATATGGAACTTGGCCGTATATTTTTGACTAAAAAGAAAGATGGCATTAGAATACGTGGCAATTGCTGACAAGAGGTTTCACTGTTTTTCTTAGGATTATGGCTTGGTTATGATACTGCTTCTAAGACTATTTAAGTTGTAAAATATCTTGAACTTTTTGTCTAAGACTCAGTGAAATTCACAAATGTTTTGGCTCACACAGATGGAAGATTTAGATCTTATGCTAGCTCAATAGTGGGCATAGTACAAGTATAGGAATAGCCTCAGGAATGACAGTGAAAAATATCTGGGCTAGTTGTTTGTCTTTTCCAACAGGGAATGATATGTGCAAATATGAAAGGAATGAAAATTAAGCCAGGTTCCTTGGGAAAGGCAGTTCCTCCCTATGATGTTCAGGTATGGTAGTCCCCTTTTCTGTTTGCTGTTGATGTCATAGGAAGTAAAACACAGGAGGGTACAACATACCATACAAGTTTCGGTACCATACAGTGGTATTCAGGGCAGGCTGAGTTTTTGGTTGAGCTGTTGGCTGCTGGTTAGTTTTAGAACATGGCTGTCTTAAAATGGGAAGTTACAATCGCCCATTTGCCCTTCCTATTGCAGATTATAGATGAAAATGGCACTGTTCCGTCTCCTGGGAAAGAAGGAGACATTGCTGTCAAAATGGATGCCAAATGGCCATTTACTTTTTTCACTCGATACCTGGTAAGCCAAAAGTGAATTTCCAGAGAGCCAGTTCAGGCCTGGTATGTATACATACATGGTGTAATACATGGTATGTATTATACTAACAGGAGCAAGTACCACACCAAAGAGTTGTGGCTCCTCTTGACTTGATGGTGTTCTGACTTAGGAAACTTCTGTTCTTTCCCCCATTCTTCTGCAGACCTACTGTGTGATCTTCAGTTCTATATCTGCCCTTGGAATAAGTTTCCCTCTCTGGAAAAAGCAAACACAAGCTCTTACATTCTTGAGATAGAAAACAAGCAGTGAAAGATATTATGGGTAGCGTCCAAAGAGGCAAAACTCATCTCAAAGCTTCGGGCTTCCCAGTATTTAGAACATTTAATTGTTGCATGTTCAACAGGATGATCCAGTGAAAACTGCTTCCACAGTCCGTGAGAACTTCTATGTCACTGGAGACACAGGGAGCATGGATGAGTATGGATACATATGGTTTATGGGGAGATCTGATGATGTCATCATCTCCTCTGGGTTTGTAGATTTCAGATAAAATGCCAAGAAATGTCTAAAGAATAAACAGACACATTTCTCTTTTAAGCATTTAATTTCTCTCTCCTAGGTATCATATCGGACCATTTGAAATAGAGAGTGCGCTGATACAGCACCCAGCTGTCGTCGAGTCCGCTGTTGTCAGCAGCCCAGATGCCATCAGAGGAGAGGTAATTAGTGGTCACTCTTCTACTCACAAAGTGCCTTGTGTGACAGAGTTTATGCTCAACTTCCACTGAATTCATAAGGCTTTTAATACAACATTTTCCATCACTTTACCTAAAGCGAGGGGAACAATCGTTTGTCTATGTATTTTTTTTTTTTAATGAAAACATAATCCTTAGTTTTCTAAAGAACATGACACTGAGTATAAAGGTGACTCTGACTCTGGTAAGAATTGATGTACACTTTGACCCAATGCCTAGAGAATTATATTCTTTACTTCAACACCTTATGTTTACAGAAAAGGCCCTGGCATCTAAGAATTTTTAAAGTCCTTTACAAAACTACAAATTTGGAAGCAGAGTTTGAAACTTTTATCATGCATTACTTAGGACCTTTACTAATGTAAGGTAGAAACAGTCTTTTGCCCTAATTTTAAATCCACTTACACAAAAGCGAATTTTGCTCTACTGCGCAGGTGTGATACAGCAAACCTGTATTACAGGCAACACTCAGTTACTCTCAATTAATTGCCTCATTTCTTAGGTTGGTCTGGTTTAATTAATGGTGTATTTTTTATTTATTTGCCCTTCGTAGGTGGCAAAAGCTTTTGTGGTCTTGTCTCCTTCCTTTAAGTCAGAAGATCCAAAGAAACTGGCCTGTGAATTGCAAGATCATGTCAGGAAAGTCACTGCTCCATACAAGTACCCCAGAAAGGCAAGTAAGCATGAATGTATAAAAAAAAAAAAATATCCCAAACACCTATTTTAACGAGGGGGAGGCTAGAAACAGAAAGGTTAGACTCAGATTAAATGCAATACCAAACAAAAAAAAAAGCCCAAATACGTGCTGTGCCAGAAAAATTACAAGTATTATTTTAAAGATTTTTTTTTAAAGTAATAGATACAATCTAAAAACCAAATTGGAATTACATCTCCAGTCACCAAATTCTTATTTAAATTAAGTAGGATGGAGACCTGTGCTGTTCTGAAAAAAAAATTATAAATTAATTCTGCTCACTTTACTTTTTCCCTCTTTTGAATCAGACTGAATTTGTCCAGCAGCTGCCAAAGACAATCGCTGGGAAAATCAGATGGAATGAACTGAGGAACAAGGAGTGGGGACAGATTTAGTTTTGATAAGCAATCTAAAAAAGCCTATCCCTATCAATTTCATTCATAATGGAGCTTTTCTACTACAACTATAAGCACCAACATAGGATTATATTTCACCCGTTATGCAGTGATTGTGTAATAATGCACAAGGTTTAAAAACTCCAACTATACAGTTTTTAAATGCTTGTGTTCTTGCTTAACAAAAATCAAGCCTACTTAGCAAGGCATATGCAAACACATCGTCCAGCCACCTAGCGCTTTTCAGAATTACACTACGAGTAGAAGTAACTGATTAGCAGGTGAAGGAATAGTGTGTTCATTCTTTGAGACCAGATATTTTAACTCACAAGGAGCTTATTAATAAGGAAATCATGATAGTAGGTAATGAAGTTCCCAGAAATGGCCATAGATCTTGCATGCATCCAAATTAAGCACCCTGCTTGTATGAATCTTGAAAGCCTCAAGATTTAGGAATTAATGTGTTAATAATGGATGTTCAGTAAGTGAAAATTATGAAAAACCAGAAGTAAAAGAATGCAGACATCTTTAAGACTGCAGCATAGGCAGCATCTAAATGTCAGACATAGCCTTGACAAACGGATGGTAGCTATTCAGCAGTTTCTTCTGAAGAGCTCTAGGTCCTCTAGACACACAGATAGGTGAGAGACAGAAGGGGGAAAAAAACCCAAACAAAACCACGAATTACCCATTAATCTATTTTTGTCCTTAGCAGGGTAAGTAGGCTGTCTTGAATTGTCATCACCGACATCAGCCACCAATAAACATTCAGTTGGATTTTGTGTCTGGTCTGAAATGGTTCTTTCCTCTGTGTTACCTAGACACTGTTGGTTTTAATCCACACACAAAAAGCTTTAAAATTTAAAGAAAACACTGATAAAGGTAAAAAAGCAGAGTTTTAATAAATGGGTAGGTAAGGGAGACAGGACTAGGGAAAAAAGTCACCTTAATTTTCTAGCTTCTAAAACAATTTTGAGAGAAGAGGAAAATATAAATTAAACACTGTTGAGACTTGAAGACATCCTTTTCATTACACCAAGACAAGTGGTGTTCTTGTCTTTTCCCATTAGCAACCCATAGGCTAGAACTGAAATACTAAACCTGAACAGCTGTACAGGAAGCATACTCAAAACCCTGCTGGAAAGCAGGTTACAGCTGCACTGGTTTTGGTTGTTTTTTAGAAGTCACTGAGATATCAAAAGAGTTGATGTAATAAACAGACAATGGAAAGACTCACTAAAATTACTTTCAATCTGAAACAAAATTAATACTGTAAAGCTAAAACTACCAAAATTTAAACTTAATTCCCCTCATCCAGTACGGTATAATGGAGAGCTCCTTTCATACAAAGTTTCCAAGCAGTATTTAAATTCAAATTTTTAGATGATTTTTGAAGGTTTCTTCCAACCCAAACTATTCTGTGATCTAACAAAAAATAAAAACAAAAAAAGACTTTATAACATCATCCCACCTCCCCCAAGGATTAAGTCTTCGGAAAGAGCAGCAAAATGCTATTTGCAGGAAATTACTCAAAAGGATTCTGTTCGGCGACTACAGCATTTCCTATAAACCGGTAACTGCTGTATACATAGCTAATGTAAACACATATGTAGTTTTTGCTAAAACCATCTGTAATGCTTGTACTGTACTGCTACTGTTCTAGGACAGTCAAATCTATTACTCTAAATCATCTCATAGTATTCAAGTATTTTGATCATAGCAGTTCTTCCCATTCACTTTCAAGACTTAGCATATCCTTGTAAAGCGATGTGTAAAATGTATAAAAACCTCCATCACACAGGAAATTATCAGTTTTAGCTCATTCTGTTGTTCCCACAGAAATGTGTATCCGAGTTCTACAGTCACACAAGTTGTCAGATCACTTCCTTAAAAACCCCTCTGCCAGCAACTGTCTTTCACAGATCTCTCACTTCTGACAGAACTTCTGAGCCGATTCTGCACTGCCTTTTGATTTCTGTAGTCATCAGATATAACAAAGGAGTCGATATATGCCAGGATGGCCACATTTACATACGCATGCACACACACCTGCTTTTTGTGCTAGGTAAAGGCAATGCAGAACAAAGCCATAGAAGAACGACAGCAAGCTTCACCAGAAAGGTGTCGCACTCTTACATCTGCTGTAACATCAGCTCCACCTGCAACCAGCATTAAAATTCTTACCTATGTGGATTTTAAAAACAAGATTTCAAAACAAAACCCACTCTCCTCTTTATAATGCCCTTTCAGAACTCTAGGGCAACTTTAATAGATTTTGATTGTGTTTATCTTTCCCTTCTACTACATTTTCTACACTGTCAGCACATCATTCCCCTTGGGCTCAGCTTCTATTTCACCTTGACTCTTGTTCTCTTGTTCTACTTCTTTTGAGCTCTTTTCCTCCTCGGTTTCTGGTTTTACTACCTTCGAGTTCTGTTCTTCTGTCAGACTTGATGGCTTTTGTTGTGTGTCATCTTTGTTGCTCTTCACCACCTCCTGTAGATTGTATTTTCTGAACAGAACATAGTCTCTCACCACACTCAAGCAACAGACGCTTTTTATTATTTCCACCACAATTGTATATTGTGGGTTATTAAGATCGACTTTGTTTTCCGGATTAAGGCTGCCCACAATTCCTGTAAAACAAGATGTAGTTTAAAAGACGCTAGAAAAACTGTTTCAGGGCATAAGCATGCCATATTGAAAGGATAAAAGTTGAGAGAGAAGGCAACATCCCCCTTAGTTGTAACCAATTACTCATTTTTGTAATTGCTTAAAATAGCAAAACAGAGCTTAGAATATACCACCGGTAGGACTGAAGTAACTACAAAAACTACCCCACTGCACTTACAAAAAAAACGCCACCACCTCAAATAAGGTGGAGCTATTTTATGAATCATATAGTCAATGGAAATAGTAACACATTATTTCAATATAGTACCCAGAGAGAAAGCCTGATAGAAGTAGTTTCAAAGCACATATAACTGACGCCCCAAATTATATTCAATGCTGTACTCCCTTCTGCTTGCTGTCTCTTAGGACATCAACATCAACAAGGAATACTGATGTCAAACTTTTTTAAGTCTTAGTGAAGCTTTTCTAGTTCAACATAGATTTTAAGCAACAAATATGTATACCCATTATGACCACTTTTAATAATCTGACCTACATTATGCATGCAGGTGTGGGCTGCTTACGTAAGTGTTCTTAGTTTTGTGTGAAATCCATACATACCTGCCAATTCCTTAATTACTTCTTCCCTACTCATATGACTGTTATTACGAGCTTTGTAAACTATCTGAAAAGTACCCTTATTAGGGGCTTTAAACCAAGGCTCAAAAAATGTTTCCGTGTACTTTTTCATATCCTCCATAAAAGCCTTGCAAGTTCCAGAAATGGGTAGCATGCGCAGAATGACTCTTGTTTTCTTCTTCTTAGTGGCATGCATATCCTTTAATATATGGTGCACCAGGTTCTCAGGTTCTAGAAGAAAAACAGCTAGGTATGAGAAACAAATTGAAGGCCTTTTCTCCCTTCTTCCTCTCTAAATAATAAGCTGGGGAAATACAGATTTGGCTGCACTGCTGTCAGACTCAATCCTTTTCTGTAAAGAGTTGTTTTACTAAACCAAAACTGAATAATCAAAGATCATTTTGTCAAAGCAGATTCCTCTACCTTTAGTGCCAAAACTGAATAATCAAAGATCATTTTGTCAAAGCAGATTCCTCTACCTTTAGTGACTCTGCTAATGACAAAATTCAGTGGCAATGCCAAAAGGAAGGGGAAACCCTGCGTTTGGTATACGCCAGTTTCTTGGAGGTCACGCTTTGTGGCCTGTTCAGAGCAGTTTATTCCCACAGCATTACACAGCATCAGCTGAATGTCGCACCTATGCCCCGGGTTCTGATGAAGACCACGTTGTTAGCACCACTCTCCACCGACTGGAACCGCCGCAGCTTCTGCTCCGTCGAGGCACGGATCTGGCCAACCTCCTTCTTCAGCGCAGCCTCAACATCGTCCTCATCCTCCTCCCTCTCGCTTCCAGACAGCCGCTCCTCGTGATCTGAAAACTTTTCACAAGGCACATCTCTTGTTTGGTGAGTACCGAGCAACAGTGCCCACAGCTTAAAAACCAGCAGCAAGGCACCATGCCCAGGAGACTAGAGGTGACGGGCAAGGGCCTTTTCTCCAGCCAACCCGAGGGGCTGCACTGGGGTTTGCTTACAGAAATTGGCATTTTCGCGTGTGTGGTGACCATAGATTTTTTTTTTTTCAAACAGAAAGGGAGAGGAGGCCTCACGATGCTGCTCTCCCTGCTCTGCCGGCGTTAGCGCTGCCAGGCTGCGGGGAGCGGGAGGCAGGAGCTGAGGGGAGCGGCTGGTACCGCGCAGAGCTGCG